AACGGGGGATTTTGGATTCTCACCAGTCGTTCACCCACAACCAGATCCTGAGGCCTTGGTGCTCCGTGAGGGTTTAGCCTTTGTGCAGACAGAGGAGCAGCCGGGCAAAGGGCCCCCCTGGCCGCAGCTGGAATCCAGGGGTGGCTCAGAGGGCCCCACTGCCCTGGCTAACCCAGCGGGTTCGTTCCCGGGGGGGTGCCCGGCAGGTGGGATCAGAGCTCACACTGTTTGGGGCATAAAGTCCCCACTGACGGAGTCAGGTGATTTTCTGTTGCTTTTGTCTAAAAATCCCCAAAGTCAGTTGCTCGCCCGCACAGCTGCGGAGAGAAGCTGGAAGGCGGAATAGTGAGGACTCCCAGGCTATGTCTAGACTGCAGGCTTCTTTCGAAAGAGCCTCTTTCGAAAGATCGCGTCTAGACAGCAGGCGGATCTTTCGATAGAGGAAATCCGCTTTTTCGAAAGAGAGCACCCAGCGAGTCTGGATGCTCTCTTTCGAAGACGGCCTCTTTACATTGAAGAACGCCTTCTTTCGAAAGAGGAACTTTCGAAGGAAGGCGTTCTTCCTCGTGAAACGAGGTTTACCGCCATCGAAAGAAAAGCCGCGTTCTTTCGAAATAATTTCGAAAGAACGCGGCTTGAGTCTGGACGCAGGGGAAGTTTTTTCGGGAAAAGGCTACTTTTCCCGAAAAAAACCCTGAGTCTGGACACGGCCTACGTGCCCTTTTTGCTCTTTCTGTCACAATATCTTCTATTACTGTCCTAAAATAACATTTTTAATTGCCAGTCACTTTTGGAAGCTGCCCATTAGTTTCCACGTGATGGAGTGGAGTATGCATATATTTAACATGGAAATCTCAGCCCAGTCATAGCATCTAACCCCTGCCGCGCCGCTGCAGCACCAGCTCCCTTCCGTGGCCGGCTTTGGGAAGGGGAAGTTCACCTCAAGGCAAAGCTTCCAGCCCCTCAGCTAGTCCTTTGGGCCTTCATTATCCTCTCAGCCGCCCGGCCCGTGCTTCCCGGCCCAGCTGCAGCCTCCCTCTGTTGTTCACCCGCAGGCAATGACAGACTGGCCTTTTTACCCTCTACTGACTGAGAGGGTCAGTCCCTCAGTCCCTGTAACCCAGCCACAGGAGCGGCTGCGCCCAGCCCCGGCAGCCAGCCTTGGAACAGCCCTGCTTTCCACGCGGTGCCATTCCCAGCTCCACTTCAAACTTGGGCAAGTCCCTTGGCTGCCCCGTGCCTCAGTTTCCCCATCTGCAGAAGTCGGGGGAGGGGTCACTCTGTCCCACCTCCCCCGAAGGGCTGGGAAGATCAGGCCACTAACGATCGCTCAGATCCGAGGGTAAAGGAGACGCGTGGCAGACAAAAGCGACAGCTGCCCTGTCCCCCTCTGCATCCATCAGACGCTTGCCTGATGTCCCCTAGTGCTGGACAGGGGTGTCGTAAGCGCTTAGCTGGCCTTGCTGGGCCTTATCTGGTTCCTATCGATTCCAGAGCGTGGCCCAGAAAGCGCGTGGCTGAACATCACTGCCCAGGACTCCCATCATAGCTCTGCCTGCCACCCAGCTAGGGCGTGAGGCCGAATACAGCAGCATTTAACTGTCTTCAGCCCCTGCCAGCTTCCTGCCCCTCCACGGGACTCCCGTGGACCATCCCAGCCATCGTCCCCAGTGCGCCTCGTGAAGTGCCCGCTGCAGTAGTACTGGCGGGGAGCCACTTGGATGAGGCGTGAGCGAGATGAGGCGGCTGTTCATGTGCCTTGATGCCACCTCACGCGCCCTTTGCCGGACGCCGTTTTCGACACCCCGTCTAAAGCCAGGCGGCAGTTGGGTTGCTCCCCCGGGCGGGCCGGGAGGCTGCTGGGCCATGTGTCAGGGAGAGCGTAGGGCTAGGCCTGGGGCGAGTAAATGTGATTGTTTAGGGCCCGGCTGTGCCTGTGCGGTATCGTCGCAGGTGGTGTCAAGAGCAAGCGACATCAGCTTGGCACTGAGGGGCAGGGGGGCAGGGCTGGCCGACCTCAGGGAATCGGGGGCCTCTACTAATGGGGTCATCTCTAACTTTTGTTTTATGGCAGTGCTCTCAGGCCTGGCGGGGCATCCCCACAGCCAGAAGGCCTCTGTCCATCTCAGGAGTATGGGCGATGGGCAGAAACCTGGTAATGTCACCGGCTCTTCAGCGTCTCAGCTCCCAACTGGGGGAGACCTGTTAGGCCCTGTGTATGAGCCCCCCCCCCGCCTTGTCCCTGCCCTAGACACCAGCCACTTGGGCCCATTCAGTGACTGCCAGCTCGCCTGAGGTGTCGGGGAGGGGGGAATAGAAGAACCACTCACACAGCTGTCACTTACATAGACACCCACCCACTGGGAGTCAGCCGGACTCCTCCCCATGCAACCAGCTCATTGCTTGGTCTCTACTAGCACAGGGCTGTATGTGAACCACCGGCTTTGGGGTGAAAGGCTCTGCCTCCCATTTCTCATTAATAATAATTAGTATTATTAATTGTATTGTACTAGTACATAGGAGCCACAGACATGGACCAAGCCCCCATTGCACTAGCCTCTATACATTTATATTGTTATTAGGTGTATTACGGTAGCACCTAGGTGCCACAATCCCAGACCAGAATCCCACTGTGCTAGGCACTGTACATTTATATTGCTATTAGGTGTATTACGGTAGCACCTAGGTGCCACAATCCCAGACCAGAATCCCACTGTGCTAGGCACTGTACATTTATATTGCTATTAGGTGTATTACGGTAGCACCTAGGCGCCACAATCCCAGACAAGAATCCCACTGTGCCAGGCACTGTACATTTGTATTGTTATTAGGTGTATTACGGTAGCACCTAGGCGCCACAATCCCAGACAAGAATCCCACTGTGCCAGGCACTGTACATTTGTATTGTTATTAGGTGTATTACGGTAGCACCTAGGCGCCACAATCCCAGACAAGAATCCCACTGTGCCAGGCACTGTACATTTGTATTGTTATTAGGTGTATTACGGTAGCACCTAGGCGCCACAATCCCAGACAAGAATCCCACTGTGCCAGGCACTGTACATTTGTATTGTTATTAGGTGTATTACGGTAGCACCTAGGCGCCACAATCCCAGACAAGAATCCCACTGTGCCAGGCACTGTACATTTGTATTGTTATTAGGTGTATTACGGTAGCACCTAGGCGCCACAATCCCAGACAAGAATCCCACTGTGCCAGGCACTGTACATTTGTATTGTTATTAGGTGTATTACGGTAGCACCTAGGCGCCACAATCCCAGACAAGAATCCCACTGTGCCAGGCACTGTACATTTGTATTGTTATTAGGTGTATTACGGTAGCACCTAGGCGCCACAATCCCAGACCAGAATCCCGCTGTGCCAGGCACTGTACATTTGTATTGCTATTAGGTGTATTACGGTAGCATCCCAGTGCTGCATTCTTGGCCCAGTAGCCCCATGCACTAGGTGCTGTACAAACACAGCCCAACAAGAGACTGTAAATTCTGCGGCGTCGGAACTGTCTTTCTGTTCTGTTCATCCGGCAGCTCATGCATCGGGGTCCATTCTCCCAAGCACCCTGCTGGCTGCCAAGAAGATGGTGGGGCTCTTAAAGCTGCAGCATCCATGGACTATTAAGGAAAATAAAAGATGTGTTTAAAAGGAACACGCGCGAGGCTTTTGCTACATGTAGTCAAATCCTGTCACATTAACTTTTGTTGGATTCCTCAGCCAGGATCCCACCTCCGTCAGGGTCTCTGGCATGAATTCTGGCTTTGCAAAACGTTTACTGTTGCAGTGGGGTTGAACGACCTGTCTATAGAAGGGGCGGCCTCTTTTTTTCTTCTACTTTGCCATGGCTCGTTTTGTGGCTCATCTCAGAAAGAGGTGCCGGGCCTGGTTCGCAGTCACTCAGTTTCCTAAGCTCATTGGGTATGTCTACACTACCCCGCTAGTTCGAACTAGCGGGGGTAATGTAGTCATCCGCAGTTGCAAATGAAGCCCGGGATTTGAATTTCCCGGGCTTCATTTGCATGAAGCCGGCCGGCGCCATTTTTAAATGCCGGCTAGTTCGAACCCCGTGCCGCGCGGTTACACGCGGCACGGAGTAGCTAGTTCGGATTAGGCTTCCTAATCCGAACTAGCTGTATTCCTCGTTCCATTGTTTCCTAGCTTGACCCTTCCCACATCCAGTGGAAAACTACCAGCAGATCAGGATGGGGACCCTGTACCAGGTGACCTAAGCACTGCCCAGCATGAAGGGAGATTAGCATCTTCAAAGTCCCACTGTCCTTCCTAATGGCCCATCCAGGCTGACTGCCTCCTGTCTGGACGGCGTTCCCCAGATACAATCATGTGTATAATTGATACCTAGTCCATGTCCCTAACTTTAGATACAGCAGAGACAGATGCTGACAAATAGGATAATCACATTCAGCAAATCAGAACCTGTCCAGCGATGTCTCACATGACCCGTCTTGCAAGGAAGGTATCTTAGTTACGCCACATTCCTATGGTCCCATTTCTATGAAGAATAGGGGGCGGAATGTCACAGAAAGGATCTGACCTCTGCTTATGAAGCAGCTGGTACTGGTCCGTAGGGGAGGTAGGGCAGGAGGCTCGCTGGACCTTGGTTCTGATCGTAACGGGCCATCCCTCTGAGCCATAAGGTCGGTCTTGTTAAGGAATCCTGGATCAGGAGAGTTAAATGGGCCAGAGGAAACTTCCCGGGGGCGGGCTATCCCTTTGCTGCAGGTTTCTGAGCAGCTGGATGAGCGTCTGTGCTGCTCCAGCCAGGCAAGCCCCCCCACTCCCGGCTGGGCTTGTGGCTGAGGGTCTGGAGTGGGGTCAGGACTCCTAGCAGTGTGTGGGATTCCAGTCTCTGGGGCTACTGGCTGGGCTCGTTCC